TCCGTCGCGCCGCGCGGCCGCGCCGGCAGCGTTCTCCACTCTCCTCGAATGTTCTCCGCTCTCCTCGTCGCCGGCGAACTCGTCGTCGTCGTCGTCGTCGTTGCCGTCGTCGCCGCGTTTTAGCGGTGAGCCAGGCTTCTCCTCCTCAGTCTTCATTCGCCGGCCGTGTTGGCAGGGGATCCCGCATTGATCGCGCTCCCGCTGCTGTAGATCTCCCGTGTATCGGTACACCTCGCGCATTCGCCGTTCCCGTAGGGAACATGTTGACCCGACGTGAGCATCGCGGGGCCCCCCGGGTCCGCGCGATCGCGCTCTCTTGAGACCCGTGACGTCAGCCCGACGGTGTCTGTCTCACCACGTTCCACCCTTCCTTATCCTCCCTCTTCTCTCCCGATTTCTTAATCCTCGATAAGATCGCACACTCGCGGATGATACCGTGTCGGGAGTGCGTAACCGGGGGGCTGTTCTTTCGAATGTAATATTCCACGGGTCTCTTCCGTTCTCGAACCAAGAATTGTGGACCAAGAAGTAGGACGCTTGGAGCACTATCGCTGGATTTCTAGTCATCGGACCGGACTTCTCGGTTTCTGGATATGTAGATGCAAGGTGTGTAATCGTGATTCTTCGAGTTTTTCAGTCACCTAGCGCCTAGATGACGCAGGTTTTCGATTGGGATGCATGTATTTCTTGCATTTTGATTTCTTGAATTTGTATATTGAGGTTCTGGAATTGAAATGCGTTTTTATCTTTTGTATTTATAACGCGTAAGTCGGGAATTAAAACACTTGGGATGCCTTGAGCTTTAGATTGTTCTATTTCTACGTAGGCGTTTAATTGAGCTGTATCTTCGGATACTTCCCATGAGTCTCTATAAACATTGCTCGTGTATAACATAAATGCTTTTTTAATATGAAACTTTAAAAGCGGGAAATTGAAATACTTTTTTCGATTCTTAAACTTTTTTAGATCTTTGGATCTTGAACTTTTTGTAGGACTTTTAAAAATTTTTCATATTTAATTCCGATGCGTGTTTATGAGTTTTGTGTTAATGAGCATAGTTTTCCCGAATTTTTAGATACTTTCATCAAAAGACAATTCTGTTCTATAAAAATTGTTAAAAAATTTATATTTCTTTTTGTTTAAATTTAACTGCAATCGTTATCTGTGCTATTTGAATTTTGCTGCTTCTATAATCTTTTGGTATCTAATTAAAATAAGTTATTTTAAATGCTAGAAAATTCTAGATAATATATAATTACGTTTCATGCTATAAAAAATATGTAACTAGAATAATTGTATTTTTAATTGTTTGCAAATGAATCGGAAGTTTTAATTAGTTGTGTCAGTTAATTGCTACCGAATGTAGATCAGGAATATAATAGTGATGAGAAATCTAATCGACATGCTTGTGGTCCACCGTTTTTTAAATTAAAATGTAAATTAAAATTAAAATTTTTTAGATGTATTTTTAAATTACTGAGTCTTTTAAGTGATGGGGGTTTATCCATAGCTGGCAGTCGAAATAGATATTAGAACGTTCTGAGATATTGGATTATATTCTGAGTTTGAATTTTCAAATTCATTTCAATTTATGTACTCTTAAACTTTTTTTAATTTATGCATTTTAAAATCCTCTCTTTCTCTCTCTCTCTCTCTCTCTCTCTCTCTATATATATATATATAT